CCCCCCCCCCCCTTATAATTCTGCTCTTCTAATGACCCTCAGCTAAGCATTAAGGATGCTCTGACATCATCACTCACAGAGATAATGACACAGACTGGTCCCAGGAAGCTCCATATAAACATCTTTTCTGGATGGAGCCAGCAGCTGAGCAAGAGAGAGAGAGTAAAAAATGCATTCATCCTGAGGTATGTAGAACAATTATATGAATTAGTTCATTCATTCATTCATTCATTCATCAACAAATATTGACTCTTCCGTGACAGGCTCTGTCATTGGCAAAGAAAGTAAACAGTCTTAAGACCCACAAATCTCACGTGGAGTAGGAGACACATAATTAAACATACTGTAACAATAAAAATGTGCAGCTATAAGAATGTATCATTGGATGTCATGCTTAGTTTGGAATCTGAGGGATTTGGATGGTGAAGGAAGATTCCCTAAGGAAATTATATGTTTAGCTGAGTTGTTTTTTTTTTCTGTTGTTTTGTTTTGTTTTGTTTTGTTTTGTTTTGTTTTGTTTTAGATAGAGCGCAAGCAAGGGAGAGGTGTGGAAGGAGGGAGAGAGGGAGAGAGAGAGAGAGAGAGAGAGAGAGAGAGAATCTTAAGCAGGTTCTGCACTCAGCACAGAGCCCGATTTGGGGCTCAATCCCACCACCCCAGGATCGTGACCTAAGACGAAACCAGGAGTCAGACACTCAACTGAGCCACCCAGGCGCCCCTTAGCTGAGATATTAATGGTGAATGATGTTACTGAGATAAACAGTGTTGGAGCAAGGGAGAGGCCCACAAACATGTTAACAGTTCAGGAGAGTCGTGTGAGCCATCCCTAACACGGTTTTAGGGGCCTTTCTTGCACTGTTCAATCTAATTTTTTTTCATCCTGTTGCAAAACCCATCAACTTATTTTAATTTTTTTTCATGGCTTTATGGAGATATATTTTATATACCATAAAATTCACCCATTTAAACCACACAGTTCAGTGATCCTTAGAATATTCACAGAGTTGTGCGGCCAGCACCAAAATCTAACTCGAGGACATTTGCGACTCCTTAAGAGAAATTTCGTTCCCGGGGCACCTGGGTGGCTCAATGGACTGAGTGTCTGACTTCGGCTCAGGTCGTGACCTCCAGGTTTGTGAGGCTGAGCCCCGGCTTCAGATCCTCTGTCCCCCTCTCTCTCCGCCCTCCCCCCTGCTTTTGTGCTGTCTGTCTCTCAAAAATAAATACACATTTTTTAAAAAATAAGTAAAAAATAAAGCATGAGGACTTCAGCCAAAATCGTTTAAAAAAAGACATTTCATGCACAGAAGCAGTCACTGTGTTCTACTCCACTCCCACCGGAGCCCCAGGGCACTGTTAATCTGCCTTCACCTAATGGATTTGCCTACTGTGAACACTTTACATAAATAGTATCATGCGATATGTGGCCTTTCGTGACTGAATTCTTTCATTCAGCACCGTGTTTTCAAAGTCCGTTCACATCACAGCACATTTTTATGGCTGAAAAAAATATGTCTCATTCTTTTTCTCACGGCTAAATGATATTCTGTGTGTGGCCAGATCATACTTGGCCTATACATTCATCAGTTGAGGGGCATTCGGTTGTTTTCAGTTGTCTCCAATTTTGAATACTGCTGTTATGAGCATTCGTGTACAAGGGTTTGGTGGGGCTTTTTACATTTATTTGCTTTTGAGAGACAGAGGGAGACGGAGCATGAGCGGGGGAGGGGCAGAGAGAGAGAGGGAGACACAGAATCGGAAGCAGGCTCCAGGCTCTGAGCTGTCAGCACAGAGCCCGATGCGGGGCTTGAACTCACGAACCGTGAGATCATGACCTGAGCTGAAGTCAGAGGCTTAACCGACTGAGCCACCCAGGCGTCTTGTACAAGGTTGATTTTTTTAAGTTTATTTCTTTTGAGAGAGAGAGAGAGAGAGAGAAAGAATCCCAAGCAGGCCCTCTGCTGTCAGCACAGAGCCCAACACAAGGCTCAACCTCACAAAGCGGGAGATGACGACCTGACCTGCTTAACCAAATGAGCCACTGAGACGCCCCGTGTGCGAACATATGTTTTCATTTGTTTGGGGTATGTACCCAGGAATGGTGTTGGTTGGTCATGTGGTAGCTTTATATTTAACCCTGTGAGAAACTGTCAAACTGTGTTCCAAAGTGACCGCACCATTTACATTCCAACCAGCAATGTAGGAGTGTTCTGAATTTTCCACATCCTTGCAAGTAGTGTTTATTGTCTTTTTTTTAACCATTTCAACTAATAGGTATAAAGTAATATCTCACTTACAGTTTCTGACTTGCATTTTCCTGATGACTAAGGCTAGTGAGCATCTTTTCGTGTACTTATTGGCCATTTACCTATCTTTGGAGAAATGTCTATTATAATATGTTGTCCACCTTTGAGTTTATTTGTTTATTCAAATAATCTCTATAGCCCCCCATGGGGGCTTGAATTCATGACCTCAAGATCAAGAGTCGCATGCTTTTCCAATGGAGCCAGCCAAGGGCCCCTATTTTGTCCATTTTTAACTTGAGCTATTTGTGTTTTGTTGGTGAGTTATTTGATTTAATTTTTTTTTTCAACGTTTATTTATTTTTGGGACAGAGAGAGACAGAGCATGAATGGGGAGGGGCAGAGAGAGAGGGAGACACAGAATCGGAAACAGGCTCCAGGCTCCGAGCCACCAGCCCAGAGCCCGACGCGGGGCTTGAACTCACGGACCGCGAGATCGTGACCTGGCTGAAGTCGGACGCTTAACCGACTGCGCCACCCAGGCGCCCCTATTTGATTTAATTTTAACACCAGCACAAAACAGATATTCTCTTATGACCACAGATTGGTAATTAATGCATAGAGAGCTTAGGCCTATTGCTGAAGATTTTACTGATAGTGACAGAATTCACTTTTGATCCTACATTAGGGTAAAGAAGAGAGTGGGCAGCGCATTTCAGAACAGCGGACAGGTGCACCTGGGTGACTCAGTTGGGTAAGCGACCAACTCCGGCTCAGGTCATGATCTCATGGTCCATGAGTTGGAGCCCCACATTGGGCTCTGTGCTGACAGCTCAGAGCCCAGAGCCTGCTTCGGATTCCACGTCTCCCTCTTTCTCTGTCCCTCCCCCACTCATGCTCTGTCCCTCTCTGTCTCAAAAATAAACTTTAAAAAGCATGAAAAAAATTAAAAAATGAAAAGAGCAATGGACAGTTTGCTAGGCCATTTCAGGACAACTGAAGTATAGACTAAAAAGAAGGTAAGCAAGAAAGAACTGTAGTGTCCAAGAAAGACACCTGGAGACAGCTCCGGTGAATCAGGTGAGCATAAGTTTTAGCAGCACGTTGTGGTTAATAGTGCACGTTCTGGGAACTGACCTCCTGAGTAGAGGAGTAAGGACCTTGATGAACTTGCTCTCCTTCTAAAACAGCAAAAATACAAGCAAAACAACTAAAACCAACCACTTTGGAACTGTGGCGATTACCCAGCACCACAGAACAAGTTGAAAAATAGTCTAACCAAGAGACGCTACTGAACCTCAATAAGATTGTGGGGAGAAAGGAGTCTGGGACGTTTTAACTCAGAGCTATCTCAGTTCTGTCTCTCCCCAGCTTAGTGGTGCAGCGGCCAGAAGTTGACAACGCTGAAGACAGCAGAGAGATCTATTTTGGAAGCTCCATGGAAAACATCATCATCACCCCCAGAACACAACCAACTTTTTTTCTAACTCTGTAGTTTCCTAACTCTTTAGTCTCTAAATTTGGTGCCTATTTGATTCGACTGAGAAATCACGGGGGAGGGGGAGCTGACTCTGGGGCATTATCAGTACAATAACAAATTATGGCCCCATTCCCAGCTGCCTAAGGCTGTGATTTCAGGTGGGGTCAAAAGAACTTTTCCGGGAATTTAAAAGGAAATACTGGACCACTCAAGGACGATGAAAATTTTTGAAAATCTCTGAAATACTCCTGCAAATCTGAGGATGCATAAGGGTATGGCTCCACTCAAAAAAGGCATGGGGAGAAAAGAAAGCACTAGTCTCTCATCTCTGTCTGACCTTGAGGCTTTGTGCAATCATAAAGTGAAAGCTAAGACTGTGATGTAAACTTCCTGAAGTTTGAAGGTGCGGTCTTCTCACACAGATACCTTTTTAGAAGAATGCAAAGTATATAGGCAAAGCATTTAAGGAAATCTTCCGGAACAAACAGTTGGTGGCCACTAAATAAACTGACCCAGGTGCGACCAACACCCTAGGAACCCATGATTAAAAACAAAAATAAGAACTCTAAAAAAGCTAGCAGAGAACTCAGGGGACACACACTGCAAGAAATGGCCAATCTACAGAATTAATCCAGGAAAGTCACTAAACAAACAAACAAAGACACCAACAAACCAGAAATAACAACATATCTTGAAGGGTGGAGGAAACTGAAACAGCAGGATTACAATATATTATCTAAAATATTGAGTTTTCACAAAAAAGTATAATATACCCAAAGAAACAGGAAAATGTGCAACATACACAGAGGAAAAAAATCAGTCAAAAGAAAGCATCTCTGAGAAGGCACAGACTTCGAATCTTGTAGATAAAGTCTTTACATCAGTTATTACAAACATATTAAAAACACAAAACCATTTCTGAAAAATGAAAGAAAAGTAGGACAACAATGTTTCACCAAATAAGAGATATGAATAAAGCAATAGATATTCTGTATGGAACCAAATAGAAACTCTAGAGTTGAGAAATACAAAAACTGGAGTGAGAAATTCACCAGAAGGGCTCAACAACAGATTTGAGCTGGTAAAAGAAAAATAAATAAATAAATTTGAATATACATCGACAGAAGGAACAGAAAGAAAATAGGATGAAAAAAAATGAACAGAACCTCAAGAGATTTATGGCATAGGACAAGTGCTCCAACACATACACAGTTGGAATCCCAGAAGACAAAGCAAAAAGGGCAGAAAAATACTTAAAGAATGAATGGCTAAAAACTTCCCAAATGTGAAGCTCAAGGAACTATAATTGGAATAAATTCAAAGAGATCCACACTGAAATGCATCATAGACCTATTGAAAAAAGGCAAAGACAGAATCTTTAAAGTTGCAGGAGAAAGTTGATTTTTCATGTACAAGGGATCCTCAATAAGATTAACAAGTGACTTCTTGCCTGAG